GTCCTCCTGCTCCCCTCCAAGTCTCTCTTGTCAGCATGAACTGTCTCTTGAGCTCCTGGCCTCTATCTACTGACTATTGGACATTTCCATCTCACGTTCCACAGGCTCCTCACTTAACAAATCACAAACTGTACCCCTCATCCCCTTCCCCTTAACTGTGACCTTTCCCCTGAAGACTTTCTCCTGGCTAATGGCACCTGGTCCCCACATCACCATCCTGGGAGTCAATTCTCTCCTTTGTCCACAGCATCCAACTGATCACAAGTCCGGGCAACTTTACCTCCTAAATCCACCAGCCCCCTCTCCATCCCTGTTGTCACTATCATCTGGACTTCTTCAGTTTCCTTTTCTTGTCACAAACAGTAAGCCTCCCTCTGGGCCACATCCCTCATGCTGTAAGCACACCCTTTCTAAAATATACCTCTGGACTCAGCACTCTCTTGCTCTAAAAATCTTCAGGGTCTCCTCACCACCTGCAGTTAAGTTCAACCATTGGTTTGGGCTATTGTCTGGCTCTTTTCATTCACTGGAAACTGGTACTCTATCGTTTGGTCATAAAGGCCACAACCACAGGACCTTTGCACATGTGAGTACCTCATGAAAAGGGCCTGAAATGCCCCCTTTTGGTGTAGAAATCACCTCTTATTGAAAGATGCAATTCAAATATAACCTCCCATGTGAAGCCTTCCCTTGTGCCCTTCCCAATAGCAAAAAAAGTCAGTGCTTTCTCCCTGATACCTGGACCCCTGATGAGACCGTGTTTATCTTTCCTGTTAGACACAAGGTCAGAGTGCCTGGCTCTTCATATGGCTGTCTGCAAGACATCCTGGCACATACAATTATGTGCCAAGACCACACTGACTACTTCTTGGTCACTGTCTGCCTTGTACTCTTCCTTAGGTCCCTGTGAAAGAATGCCCCTCCACCTAACAGGCTGGAGAACTGAGGTCAAAACAGACTAAAGAACTTCAGATTAAGATTCAGTTACAAAGTGGAGAAGCCAAGATTTGAACCAATATCTGCCCAACTCAAATTCTGCTCTATCCAAGAGGCCAGCAGCTCTCAAACCTGAGAGACCATTAGCACCCCACCCACATCCACCCCCGCCACCACCACTGAGGAATTTTTTAAATGCATATTCCTAGGCCATGTTGCAGAACTACTAAATCTGAATCAGAGCTACCAAAGCATGTGACTTTGTACGGCTCAAGCTCTCAAGGTGGTTTCGGGTGTCACTGTACTGGTTCCCAGGCCTCTCTACTATAGAAAATACTGGTCCATTATTTGGGGGAAGAGCTTAGAGCTAAAGACAAAAGTCCAGGAACAACTTACTTAGAAAGGGAATGTAAAATTGTGAAAGTAGCTGGGCTCACCAAGGGCGGAGTAGGAGTACAGAAAGAGAAAATAAGAGGGCCAGGAGAGAACCCTGATAGAAGTTTCTACAGAAGCAGGAGAGAAGCTAGAAGAAACAGGAAAAAAAAAAATGATATGAGAAACAAGAGGAGACTTAATAGTGACTATGTACCAAATCCAGGGGATAAAAGAGTTTTGCAAAGGGACATTTGATAACGTAAGATGCCGTGAAGAGGAAAATGTAGAGGGCCCAGACAGAAACACTCGTATTGGTTATGTCTATGGAATAGAATCTAAGCTGATACAAATTTTGCTTGGTTGTCTATTTTAGGGGTTTTCTAATACTCCTTGCTACTGTGGTCCCCTTACCTAGTTGGTGGCCTTCACTGCCACAGGGAAGGTATGACAGAGTGGAACAGAAGAGAACAGGAGTCAGACTGTGGCTTTGAAGTTCAACTATAGGTCAGGGCACTGATGACAATCTGGAAGATGACAGGAATCTACTGGGTGACTCTGTCCCAAAAGAAGGCCCCAAGATGGCAAACAGGAAAGTATCAGCAAGGAATAAAAGTGAGTGAGAGCACCCTTTCCAAAGACCTGCAGTGTGTCCTTGCAAGAGGGCCCTTGAAATCTTCCCCATTCCCACAGCCCCAGAAGCAACCGAGAGATCTAGAACTAGAGAGACTGTGCTGGGGAACAAGGGGCCACACTGCCTGCATGGATCAAAGACCAAGGCCCTTCTAGAAGGGACAGGTCATTTTAACAGTGTGGACTGACCATGCCAAGAGCCCCATGATGCAGGGCCCTACAGAAGTCCTCAGGACAAAGCTACAACTTCAGGAAAGGGACTGCGAGCCCTAAAGAGATGAGGTTTATGATACTAGGCCAAATGAAGTCCCAAATCGGACAGTAGGTTCAGTTATAGGAAAGTAACAAGTTACATTTCTTTCCCTCCTAAGTTTGCCAACTGAGATCCATTTCTATTACATTCCAGAGATGGGGAGGGAAGACAGAGAGCAAGGAGCTGAGGAGAGAGCAAAACTGAACTGGCAGAGGTAGTAAATGCAGCCTCCTCCTAAAAAAAAAGTTTTTTAATTTGTATATATTTCCATCAAAGCAAGTTCAAGAATAGAGCTAGCAGAATTAGGGCAGTGTGTGTGAGTGTGAGAGTGTGTGTGTGTGTGTGTGTGTGTGTGTTTCAGATGCAGGAAACCTGAGCTTGCTTCCTTAACTTAGTAAATAACTGCCCAACTCGTGGCTTGAAAGAGGAAGGAATTATCTTAGCAACTAGAAGCCCCTTTTCAAACTGCCACACTCTCTTCTGCACCCCCAATTCCTAACACAACGTCACTACAAAGTTCACTGGCTGCCCCCACCACCTCTCTCCCTCCACCTACCTAACCCTTCATTTGGAAGGGACAGAGGAGCCAAAGGCAACAGAAGCCTGCCGCTGGGAGGCCTTGAGAAGCTTGGGCTTGCAAGCTGATGTTATTCTTTAAAAAAAAAAAATAGCTTTATTGAGGTATAATTTACATGTCATAAAACTCACCCATTGTAAATATACGACTCAATGATTTTTAGTAAAGTTGTACAGTTGTGCAACCATCTAGTTTTAGAATACTTCCATCACTCTGGGGTGTGATTTAAAACACCATGGTCCCTCCAGCATTCTCTGTACCTGGCAACTTCACTCCAGCTCCAGAGTAATCCAACACAACCCTTACTTTCCAGCTGCCCCTCTGGTGCAGCTCCCCAAGTGGTCTGCTAATCCTCCCAGGAACTCTGGGGTGCAGGCTGTTATGGGCCCATCTCTGGATCCTGAGACAAAACCAAACTCCTCTACCAACTTTCAGCACCGTTCTGTCCCAGAATAGACCCAAATCAAAGCTTCACTGCTTCAGAAGAACACATGGATTTTTTTTAAGTTGCAGATTAAGTGCTAAACTGCAGAGTTTTGGGAGGACCATGGTTGGGGGAGAGCATGGACACACAGAGAAGAAGTGCACCACCACTGACAGAAGGAGTGTCTGCTTTTCCGGAGGCCATTTGGGAGATGCTATGCTCGTATTTATTTTGACACAGTAAAGATTTCTCGCCTGTTAAGAGACAAGGTCACACCTCAGAAGGCCGTGTGGACTGCAGCTAACGCTTTGCCTGCCGACTCCAGCCATGTCATCACCCAGCGCTGGCTGGTCTGCTGTGGAACCAGTTCCAGCCCAGAGCCCCAGTCAAGCCACAGACACAGAGCCTGGCTCACATCGAACACCTTGCCCAGTATGGAGTGGGGGCTAACTGTAAAACTGGGAAATGGCACAAAAGCTTAAAGCACGCATCAGATTTATTTGCTGAAGGGGCCAAAGAAAATGTCAAAGGTTAAAAAGCAAAAGAATTACACCCATGATGTCATCAGCAACCAGCAACAATAGAACAGAGAACCCTGTAACCCTGCAGCTTCTGTTAAAAACGATCTCATCGACCAGTCCAATCTCGCTAATTAAGGGAAGGTGCTGGTGACATGGGAAGATGGGAATCACAGAAGTGAGGGTACCTCTGCAGGGGAAGGAGAGACAGGATTTTCCTGCACACCGGTCAAAGAGTCATCCCCGTGTGCCCCAGTTTTGCCAACCACATTCCTGAGCTCATTTCCTCCCATGCCCAGATGGAGCAAAGGCCTCTGTAATGACTTCACGCTCAGCCAAAAGTAAACACTCTCTATGCTTTTTCCATGGACAAATTCTAACCCCAAATTGCCAGCACTGGCCTCCCAACAGTCCAAATGGAAAGCTGCCTTTCCCAAGAAAATAAAACCTTTTTAACTAAATAATGTATCTTGGCTGCAAAAGCAAACTTTCCTAAAAGCTTCCTAGAAATTAATTATCGTGCAACGATGCTACAGGTCACCTGACCCAGCCCTACCAATGAACAAAGGCACCTAAACACAACAAATGATTGAAGAATAAAAGCTCACCTCACAAACACCCGCCCTGTAATACATTCCGCACGTGATGACAGGCAGGGGACCCCACGCACACACACCGCGCACTACCACCTACCCCCCCACACACACACCGCGCACTACCACCGACCCCACACACACACCGCGCACTACCACCTACCCCCCCACACACACACCGCGCACGACCACCTACCCCACACACACACACACCGCGCACTACCACCGACCCCACACACACACACACCGCGCACTACCACCGACCCCACACACACACACACCGCGCACTACCACCGACCCCACACACACACACACCGCGCACTACCACCGACCCCACACACACACCGCGCACTACCACCTACCCCCCCCCCCCGCACACACACACCGCGCACTACCACCTAATTGCAATATTTTTTCTAAAAACAGGCTGTGATAAGTCAGGTGCTGATTCAAATGAAGGGCAGAACAGCCCCGGGATCTGCCGTAGCACCACCGCTGTACAGGCTGCATGCACGATGCACGACGCACGACGCACGACGCACGACGCACGACGCACGACGCACGACGCATGACGCACGACGCACGCACGCACGCACGCTGCACTGCTCTCCCACGTGCCGACGGGAGTGAATTCCCGTGGTTCAATTCGGCCCTCCGCCGAGGAAGCACAGCGCAGACTTGGGCGGGGACTCACCAGGTTGGAATTGGTGGCGTTGGAGTCATCTTCTGGAAAGGGGATGTAGATCGCTAAGGCCACACAATTGGCAAAAATAGTCAGTAAAATAATGATTTCAAATGGTCTGAGGAAGGGAGTTAAGGAAGTTCCTGTTGCAGAAAGCACAAGTGAAACAAACATACATATATGTTCTTAAATGAATCAAAGATTCATAAGAATTTTGTTTAAACAATACATTCCAAGCCCCTTGTATTCTGAAAAGAAACATATGCCTTTTTAAGTACTTCTAATGGGGCCCCGCCAAAATTTTTCCTAATATGTCAAAAGCAGTGGAGGCCAGTCGCGTGCCAGAGTAAACACAGATTTCTAAAAACTTTTTTCCCCCTCTTTTATTTATTTAGATTGCATCGGACTTCATTTTCTCTCATGTGTGCTCAGGTTGCTTTTAAAGAGCAGGGCCTGCTCCAGTCAGGACCCGGTCCCCCGAGGCATCCCCTCCCCCGTGGTTTCACGCTGCCACCCAGGGACTCAAGCTTGGGAGGGGAGCGGCAGACAGAGGGGGACTGGAGGCAGAAACTAGACTAAGATTTTTCATTTGAAATTTGGAGATTTTATTTTTTTATCTTTTAATTTGAAGCTGAGCGAGTTTTTTTCCTTCTCCCTTATTCTCTGACAGCGTCCAAAGAGCTGGAAGATGCCCAGGGCCTCGGGACCCCCCAAGAGCACAGTAGCATGTGTACTGTGCATCTAGGGTAGGGGACCCACCTTTTATTTCAGGCACAGTTCCAGGTAGAACACCTAAAACTTCTCCAGCCAATGGGGGCCCTGGCTTCCGTGGGCAAAGCTTACATTCTAGGTCCTCTCCAACTTCTTCAGTATGTGTTGGGACCTAGCAGGACAAGCCAAGGCCCACTACCAGCAGCAGTGCACTCGGGGGGGATCCAGTGACTGGATTTATTTATGGAAATATTAGAGCAGGATACAACCTCAGAAGAAAAAATGAGCTCATGTGATACTACTCCTTCCATCCTGCACCCACAATTAAAGGCCAAAAAGGGAAGCTTCAGAGAAAGCTCCCAGCTTATGTTCTTCCAGCCCCACCTCCCCCAGCCCCTGACACTGCCTGGCTACCAACCAAGTCCATGGAGTCTGACAGAAGAGGAAGAGGATGGAATGTCCTGGGAGAAGGAACCAGCTTCATCTCCCAGGACATGAAACCTGTACTCACCAAGTTAACAAATATTGAAGCGGGAAGGGACTTAAAGATCAGCTAGTCCAAACCTCTGAGGTCCAGGGAGCCTAAGAAACTTTCCCAAGACCCCACAGGGGGTCCCGACCAGCCAGGACTAAAACCCTGACTCCCTGACCTCTGAGTTCAGTGCTCATTCCCCTGCCATAGAAGGGCTCTGACCTCTGTTAACGAGCAACCCTGAGCCTGGAAGGAATTTTAGTGATCATCTAGTCCAGGCTTCCCAGGCAGTGTGCTGGTTATGGATCCCCCTGGGCCCTATGGGTGTAGTTGAGGGTCCATTTACCAAGCATGACTCCTGAAGTTGCCATTTTCTGTGTGCCTTGATATCAAGAATAACGCATGTAGCGGGTCTGTCCAACCTCCCAGTTTGACAGACATAGAAAATAAAACAACCTCTCCTAGATCCCAAGCTGGGAAATAGCAGAGCCAGGACCAGAACCAGACCTACTGACTCATCTTTTCCAACACGCCTGCTGCCCCTTGAATTGGCCAAGGAACAAGTGATGATGATGATGGTGATGTTGATGATGACAACAATGATGATAACTGAGAACACAGCTAACATTTATTGGGAGCTTACTCTGTGCCAAGCACTGTTCTAACTGCTCTACACAAATACCCTGAGTGGAATGTACAATTATTATCCCCATTTCTTAGTGAAAGATTAAAGGTTAACTTGTCCAAGGTCACAGAGATCATGGAAGGATGGGCTTCAAACCCAGGAAGCCTGGCTCCAGAGTCAGAGTTTATAAGGACAACTCTACACTGATCTATCCTGAAGTCACCCTGAACATTTAAGGAAGTTAGATCTCGGAGCCCTCCTGCTACATTCCTCTTCTCTCCTAGCCCTTTCCCCACCTGCTTAGGAAAGGGACATTCAGCCCACAGGCTGGGCAGTTTCATTCCCATTATCTGATCCTCTGTGTTCCCCCACCAGGACAAGAGCACATTAACTCAATTAGGCCAGACCTTACACATCCAGTCCTCAAAATGTCAGCCTGGTCCCTCCACCAAAGTGGGGCTACCCTTGGGTGTTCTTTGCCTTGTTAAGAGCCACCTCCTCCCCTATTCAGGCTATCCATCAATCATCTTATGCTAAAAGTGCTGGCAAAAGCTGAATATTATGCATCAAGAAACCAATCAGGCAGGTAAGAAAAACCACCAGGTAAGCCCTGAAAGTGTTCTGTGTCACCCTGTGATAACCAGATCATTTTAAAAACTGCCTTCTCTTCTTAATGACAATGTCAGTTCCACTCTTTCAAGAGCACTACTGGCTAGCACACCATCTCCTCGTCCATCAGCTACCCTTCCAAGGCAGTCTGGGAATGCCACCCAACCAGCCTGCCAAGGCTGGGTCTGCTTCCTCTCCTGTGGATGGAGGATACATTCCCTAGGAGAATGGCTACAGCACCCCTCTGCCCAAGTGTAGAGGGGCAGTGCAATGAGATGGCTGAGGTCCACAGTGGGCACACTGGGACCGGACACTCTTCCCTGCCTCCCCTCTCTTCCTGTCTTTCTAGGTTTTGTATGTCACCAGCACCAGGGACCCATCCATCCCAGGAAGTTAACTGGTACTCACTGAACACGTGTCCTAAGGTAGTTCTCCAAGCGTGCTTCCACATAAGCAGATTCTGCAGCCCTTGCTAACACTTTGGGAGGGGACTGCAGCAACTCCCTGTTGGCAATGAGGAAACTGGAGCTCTGGGGAGTCAGGTGGCAGGGCCACAGTGGGATAGGTGTCCAGGCCCCAGATCTAGTCCCCGCTGTGTCCCAGTAGGGCTGGATGGTGTCCCCTGAACATCTGCCCTAGTACCTCTCTTCTGTGCTATGGGCATATGGGGTGAAGGAAGGGTGTGGATTTGGGAGTTGGGGAACCTGCATTTGAAACACCGCTGTCAGTTGCCAGTTATGTGATCTGGGCAAGTTCTGCAGCTTCTCCAGGCCCCAGTGCCCCCCTTCTCTAGGGACGCCTGACATCCAGGGCCCCCAGCCCTCCCACTCCACAATTCTGAGTGAGCAGCTATGACAGTGGCCCGATGGGGCCACCCAAAGCTGAGCCTCTCTCCCAGTCATCTGAGAGCCAGAACCGCACTTGGCCACTCAGAACAGACTGGCCAGCAGGGCAGCAGCCACTTGGCTTAGACTTTCTCTTACAGTTACTTCTGAGTTGAGAGATTCAAACATTTATACAACTAACATTTCTTGCTGAACTTTCTTTTCTCCTTGAGTCATCTTCTTTGGCCTTTCAACCACCACCCAAGACTTTTAAATCTTTCCACAGCATCTCATGAATGAAACCTAATATTCCCACCATGAACAGTCAGAGCCATGGTAGCCCTGCCTGAATTCATTCTTATTATAAAAACGCCCAACACTAAGGACAGGGCTCTAGTCCCGCTGTCACTGACCATATGACCCTGAGAGTCACTCCTGTGGGGCTCAGTGTCATCACCAGGGAGAATCAGGGGTGGAGCTACCAATCTTTAAGGTCCTTTCCATCTCCACCCACAATTTCTGTGATATCAAGGAGCCTATAATTCCACAGTGAGACCCAACCTTTCAAAGCCATTTTCTCTCCAGGACCCAGTCACTGGTTCCCATACAAAGTGGGTCTGTGTGTAACACTGGAGGCCAGTCTTCGCTTTGGCTGCAGGTTAGAATCCCCTGGAAAGTTTTAGAACAGGCCTGGGTGGCGCTCAGGCACCTGTGTTGTTACAGCTTTCCAGGGGATGCTACGGGGCAGCTGAGGTTGAGAACCACTGCTCCAGGTTCTGGAACTAAGAGCTGGAGTCACTGCCCACCACCGTCCTGCATTTCCTAGCTCCTTCCCGCTTGCGAGAGGAAGGTCATGAAACTATGCCAGAGTTGTGACATGGGAGGAAAAGGTTATGGAGTAGCAGCATGAAACCACTTAACCCAACACCGGCGGGTCCCTGGGCGGGTTGAGCTGGGTAAGATGCCATGTCATTACCTCGAGGCTCATTTTCTCCGATGTTGCTTATTATATGAAAATAAACACCAGGAGAGCTTGTTATATAAGCAGATTCCTAGGCCCTATCCCCAGAGATTCTGATTCATCAAGTCTGGAGTAGCACCTGGAACTCTGCATTTTAACCGTGCCCCAGCTGACGCAGTAGGTCTGGTGACCACTGTGTAGGCTCAGCAGGGACAACCCAGCCCACTGACTGGTAGGCCTGGGGGCTCCCAGGACACACACCCTGCCCAGAAAAGGGCACAAAGGATATTTCCATTCGACAATGCTGATACACGCCCTCCGGATGGGGTTCTTCAGAGTCAGGCAGAGCAGGGCGCGAGGCGGGCGTGTGGCAGTGGTGCTGCCCTGCTTCTTGGGTTTTCCATACTGCTGCCGCTTCCGCTGCGTGGAGCTGACCGTGGAGATGGTCGCATTGCCCGCGCTCCCCATCAGCTTGGCCTGCCGGGCCGCGTCGATGGCCGCCTGCCAGGACAGGGCCGCCCCCGGGGTGGGGATGTGCTCAGGGGCAAGCCCTGCTGCTGCGTTGGCATTCATGTTGGCATGAGCTGGGCGCGGGCTCCCATAGTTGGAACCTGTAGGGGAAGAGGACAGGGAACAATAGTCACCAAGGGAGAAAACAGGAGAGCTCGTGATATGCTCTGGACCCAGACTCACAAGTGCCTGAAAACCTTATTTCAAACTATTGCCGTCTGGAGGTAGCCCGTGGACACAGTAGTGTGTGATGCTGAGGACATCTGTGCTAGTCCTGGTTCAGCGGTGTGACCTTGTGAGTGTCACTCCCCCTCTTCAGTCTCACTGCCTCGTTCTAAGCAGACATGACATGAGGTGTATGTACCACACAGGTATGGACCTCAGAAACAGTGCTAGAGAAAGGCAGGGTACAGAGAAAGATAAATGCACAATACAATCTATGGACATCAGAGTATATTTATGTAAGAACACATAAATAAAATGATATTCATTCCAGTGAACAGAATGACTGTTTAAGGAAGGTGAGGAGGAAAATGGGAGTAGGGGATAGAGCTAAAAGGCATAATGGATGAAGAATGAATGAAAGAATGAAGTGAATAAGAGAGCCATTGCATGAATCAATAATGAGAAATGCACAATGAATTGAAGAGTATGATTCACTCAAATCTCTGCACCTGAGTTCCAAAAAAATAAAAATAAGTATAATAGCCCTGACAGGTTTGGCTCAGTGGTTAGAGCATCAGCCTGCAGACCAATGAGTCATGGGTTCGATTCCGGTCAAGGACATGTACCTCGGTTGCAGTTTGGTCCCCAGCCCTGGTCAGGGTCGTGCAGGAGGCAACCAGTCAATGTGTCTCTCTCACATCGATGTCTGTCTGTCTGTCTGTCTGTCTCTCTCTCTCTCAATCTCACTCTCCCTCCCACTCTATCTGAGGATAAATGGAAAAAGATCCTCAGGTTAGGATTAACAAAACAAAAAAAAGTATAATAAAATGAGAGGGTTGGACCAAAGTTAGGTTTCATCCAGGTACCTCAAACCCATCAGGGCACTGAGCTCTGGCTGAATAGGAGAGGGTGGGGTGGGGGGGTTTCAATCATGTCAGCCAGTCTTCTGACATCTGCTTCCCATTGGGAAACAGGATCTATACACCCTTCTCCTGCGATGCTGCTGGCCTTTGGTGACTGTTTTGACCAGTAAAGTACAGCATAAGAGGCAGTAAAATGCAACCACCCGATTCTCTCTAGATGCTGGGCCTGGGGGAAGCCAAACCTCCAACGAAGCAGCCTAGTTACCCTGAGGCTGCTACGAGGAAGCCCACCAGCCCTACCTAAAGAGACTGCTGCACACAGAGGGACAGAGTCCCAGCCAGCCCCCAGCTGCTCTGGTCACCATCTGACTGCAATTGCACGAAAGACCCCAAACAGAACCACCTACCAAGCCCTTCCTGTGGGAGGGTGACAGGGAGGGGCAGAGGGACCCTGCAGGAGGGAAACCTGCATGGGAACCAGTGAAATCCAGAGCAAAGACAACTGCAGTGCTCTGGTTAAAGTTAGCTGAAGCCTTCAAGACTGTCCCTAAGACACCACACATACTCGGTCTGGTCGGCCTGATGCCTCCCCCAGAATCCTACAAGGTTTGCCAAGTAATCAGCTCAGCCTGGGCCCAAACCTGAATGCCCCAGAAGCCCCAGAACAGAAGTGTGACCTTGAGATCTGTCAAATGGCCACGTGCATCAGGATCAAGACAGACTGCAGGGAATGGGGTGCTACTGTGGGCAGAGAGCCTGGCATCTGGGTGCCCTGTTGGTTGCCTGGAAGACTGTGGCTGGAACAGGCAGACCAGTTGCACATACATCACTTCCAAGTCCCCCCACTGTGACCTTCCCCTCTGTTCAGGTCCTTCCAGGGAAGCTGCTGAGCCCAGAAATAGCTCCTCAGTGGAGTCCTACTTCTCACTGCAACTCACCAGGATTCGGTGAACCCTCGGTACCCTGCCAGCCACCTCTGCCCGCTCTTATCCGGGGCTGATTCTTCTACATTGGACTTTAAGATAACTTTTGCTCCCAGTGTGACCTGCTGTCTGGACCTTATCGTCCCTACCAGCAGCCCTGTCCTCCACAGGGACCAGTTCTGAGATAAGCACATGACCCAGCTCAGCCAGTGAGAACATTTTTACCCACAGAACGTCTGTCCTGGAGACACAACCTAACAATCTCACTGGGCTCCTGCACCCAGCCATGCCTGATGCTAGCCTTACCCTGGGCTTTCCGGTTTTCACACTTAAATAACAGCTTAAGCTAATTTGAATGGGCTTCTGTCCCTGACAACCAAAAAAGACATAACTAATATGCTTGCTCAATGCCACAAAGCTGAATCTGGCCGGGGTGTCGTTGCTGTCAGATTCCAAGGTCTTTGTCCTTTCCACCATCACACCAATGACAAACAATAAGTTTCCACTCTTACACCAACAGATTGACATCACGGACCAAAATGCTGTACCTAAAGGATTCTGAGGCTTTTCTGAGCACACCGGGAAAGCACATCATGATAGATTAGTGATGTCTGCATGGGCACCAAGGGTATGGTATCACAGATGCCACAATTTACCACCCTGTATGATACCAAGATGAGCACATCAGGTCTCCTTTAGCACCAGCTGGTCCACTGACTTCTTGTCCCCTGACAGTTGCCTCCTGCACTATTGCCATCTGGTCCCTGTAGCATCAGAGCCCCACCCCCAGCCCCAAGGCCTGGAACATTGCCTCTTTGCTATACTCAATCTATGGCTATATTCTCAACATGACACTGACTCCCTTCTCACCATATATTCCCTTCACCCTCCGCCCTCCCTCTGCCCCCAAGCTCCAGACGGCTGCTGCACCCTCGGGGTCAAGTATGTTAACCAGCATGTCAGAATCATGGGGAACCCAACACTGCCTAGAAGTCTCATCTCTCATATACCTCCCTGCACGCACCGTGTGGAGCCAACGCATAAAGCGAGAAGACCCCAATAAGGCTGGGCCTTCACCTTTCTTCTAAGACCCCAGAGGAAAGAAACAGAAGACAGGATTTAAATTAACAAAGGCACCTGAAGCCCAAGAGCTGCTTTAACAACCAGCAAGTGTGAGTAGCTCCATTTAACACATAAGAAAACAAAGGAGCGTCTGTGACTCATTAAAGGTCACAAAGTGAGACAATGGAAGATTCCTGCAGCACACACAGGACTCGCAGTTAAATGCTAGACAGACTCCGCCTCCTGAGATCTCGCACGCCGTCCACAGGCGCACACACGTGCGTGCTCACGCACGTGGACACGAGCAAAGCGCGCACCTGCTACTGGTTGACGGGCCTTGAGGTTGAAGAGGCAGCACTTCTGACCCCAAGAACATCCTTTGTGTTTATATGACCTTCACAGGACAGCATCCACTACATGAATAGCCCCATTGGCAACCCTGGCCCTGTGGGACAAGTGGAAGTGGAAGGTGTCCCCGTTCCTATGCGCTGTCTTGGAGTGACTGAGCCCCACCTCACTGCTTGTCTTACTGAGTTCACCAGATGGGGCTGAAATTCTAATGTGTCCATTCAGTCTGAGGTACTACACTTTTCCTTCCCCGGCCCCCTGTTTGGCATGGACAATGCTTAACAGGCGATTTTATTCCTGGGCTGACTTCTCCTCTTCCCTCACCTACATAGTCACACTCCCTTACACCACCTGCCAGTTCCAAAAACCAAGGAGAGTTTGGACGACGGTGGGAAGGCAGGCAGGGAGCTCCGCGGGAGAGCGTATCCATCGCCGTGGGGAGGCGGCGGGGTGGGGCGACCACGCTCCTGAGGGCTAAATGGCCGTGGGTCCACAGAGCCAAGAGGGGTTCTGAAAGCCACACCGTGGGGGGCTGTCTTCCGAGCCACCCCGCACCTGGGCGACCTCATTCAGTGTGGACAGTTCCGAGCACGAGGACCGCACTGGAGCGTGCCATCTGGAGAAAGCACAGACGAACAAGCCCGTGGGGAAAATGGAATGTCAACCTCTCCTGAGCTGAAAGACAAGAAAACAGCCTTCCGTATTTGGGTCCCGGCAGCTCTGAGCATTGCTGTCGCCCTGTGCCGTGACCAAGGGCACTGCCACACAAAGCCACACACAGGTGAGCCAGGCGTGGCCTGAGGCTCCTCCACGAGGCTGTGCTCCAAGGCCCCGCTTGGTCCCCCCACCCAGACTGGAGGCTCTGAGGATCGCCAGGTCCCCACAACTAGGGAACACAATTCTCCAAGAACCCCAGGAATGGAAACTCTCCACTCAAGATTCAACCATTTTGCATCCAGAGCAGTGCCATGGAGAAAAGGCAAGCAGTATTGTGTCCCTGATGACTTTGTTAGCACAAAATAAACCCCCGGTGCAAAGAGACCAATTTTCAAATCATGAAGCTGATTCAAAGCTCTGACTCCTGGTTGCCAGCTGAAAAGATGCCACGGTTTAAGGCTGCTCTGGCTCCTGCCTTCCTAGTCTATTTCCACTGATGCTCTCATCCCTGAACAAGCCCCAGAGCAGCAGCTCAGCAAATCAGGCCACACACAGGCAGGTGGGTGCCCACAGCACTGAGCTCTTCCTCGAACGTAAGAAAATGACTCCCATCTGTCAAATGGCCGAGCTTGCCGGAAGACGGCAGCAGCTCCTCCCTCCTGCACACGCTAGCTGTTGCTTCTCCAAGGGAACAGGACGAGGGCAAGACCCCAGCACAAACTGGGCAGTTGCAGGTCATTCTGCTCTTCGAGGTCCACAGAGGACTCCAAGTCAGGAGGCGGTGGCTTACGGTTCCTTGGTACTCACCCCCCACCCCCAGGTGTGAGGTGTGGTGCTAAGGACCTAGAAGGTGTTCAATGATGAGAAAGGTTTTTTTCCCCCTTTAATCCAGCTCTATCCATGAACCTGATCCAGGGACTCATCCCAGAAGATGCTCAATATCTGTTTGATTACAACTGTATTGACATGATAAAGATGGCGGTGGACAACATGTAGACTTCAGCAACGCTGTTCGAGACGGCCTGTCTCTGCCCTAAGGAATGGGCTTATTCCACCCTTCCACTTGCTTCTTGGTGTGGCAGT